TTCTTTAATCTGTTCATGACCCCATCAGAGCTGCTTCCACCTCCCGCCTCTCGTTTCAAACTCCCTCCTCTCCTTCAGCATCACTGTGATCCAGCTGCTCCTCACTAAACCTGCGTCTTTAGAGTCCAACAAGAACACAAGTCCTGAGAATTAAAGACGTGACTGAATGCAACCCACCCACGCAGATCCACACTCTTTACAACTCTGCATCTTTTCTTTCTACTTCTTTTTCACGAAGCAAAGCTGAGAAAAAAAAAAAGCCCAGAATGTTTTCCATTTCTTTAGCTCGTGCTGCTGGGCCCTCGCTGTCAAGGTGAAATCTGAAACACGCTTTTGGAAAAAACAAGAGGCGAAAACAAAACAGCAATATTTCTCTCAGAGCTGGACAAAGGCTTAGTGGGAGAGTGAAAGAGTATTTTCATCAGCAGCAGGAGGCCATCCGTTTCATCTCCGAGCAATTCTCAACGAGACAAACAAATTGACGGCCGCTCGCAACAATTTTAYGCCTCTGTTTTCTGCCAAACGTGAACAAACACAAAAAGTAATTCACTTCTGTGGATGTATTCAGTTCATTTTAAAGCCATTTTGGATTAAAGCTTCTGTTGATCTCGGTTAAAAAAAATAAAAAAAAAGCGTCACAAATTTTCAATTAATCAAACCAAGTCGAGAACTAAAAATGAATCAGTCTGGTTTTCACCCTCAGGTTTAAATACCCACCTATTTATAAACAATATCTCACCTGCTGCAGATAGCTCTTTGAATGACCAGACGAGGGGCTAACTGCTGAAGCAGTCTTTGTTGCTGTTTTAAAATCACCAATTCTTAGAATTATTTTTATGATAATAATAATAATAAATTTCTATAATAACAATAATAATATGAGTAAAGCTTGGAATTCCACTAAATCATTCATCATTTGTTTAGCAAAATTCAGTCATTTATTTTTGTATTATTACTTACAGCAGAGCAGTGCTTATGTCTGACTGCACTTGAACGCAGCACGGCTCAGACGTGGGTTGGATGCTGTTTGAAGCTAACAGAGGGAAGATGTGTTGCTTCTGTCCCGATAAAATAAACTTTTCTTGCTTGAGTCACATTATGTAAACTGTAAATATGTATACGTTGGAACAGAAATGTTTTTTTAATCAAAAAATATTCTATGGCTTGTTTGAGATGAAATGTGTTATATTTCAATGTAAGTTAATACAAAGATTGTGTATTAGTTAAGGTTGGGCAATATTGGCAAAAAAATAAATCACGATTAATTGTGGTATTTAGCTGATAACGATTAATTTGACGATTAATCCCCTGGAGTTCCTGGACACCCTTATTTCATAGTCACATGACCAATTTAGTGGGAAATATTTGCTCTTCATAAAAATCTGTTCCAAATTGTGTCAAAATTACAGACTTCAGGCTATAAATCAAATTTTAAATTGTGTTGATAGATAAATAAATTACAGAACTTTTTTAATGTTCGTCATATTTGAAGCTGAGAGGAGCAGTGAGCGGATTCTACCTGTTGGCATTAATCATATTAATTGTCAAGTGCCAAAAATTAATCGATTAATGTTTTTCTGACGATTAATCACACACGATACGATTATGCCCAACCCTAGTATTAGTTATGCTAATGTTAGCTTATTGCTGCAACAGATACTGCAGTTTTTCTTTTATAATTATTTTTCTTTTGTTGTTGTTTTGTTGTCTGTGCAAAGGAAGCTGTTTGGGTCTTGGTTCTTAGTCGTACCGGCTGCAGTTCCTCTCTATTATATCTCAAACAGACAAAAGTTTGTCAGCCTTGATTCATCCCGTCTTTCTTCACGTACCACAACGCAGAGTGAACAAAGCCTTAACCAGTCACTTTAGTACCAGCTACCATCAAAACTGATGGCACAAAAAATAAATAAATAAAAAYAACATTTGCATAAACTGCAATAAAATTTTGATACTTTATTACAATGGTTCCTAACATTTTTAGACTTGTGGACTTTGTACCCCCCTGAGCGATTTTGTTATACCACTAGTACCCCTTCAGTTAAACCTAACGATGATTCTCTAAAACTATAATGTACAACAACTGATTATTAAATGACAATTATTTATTTAACCTAGAACATTTAATTCTCAGGCAATATATTCTTCTCAAATCAAATTTAACAAAGATAAAAATGCTGCCTTGAAAGTGAATAAGTAATTAAATAAATAAACCAGGTAATGGCAGGTGCAGGAAGCAGCAACATACAAAATACATCAAATACCCCAAATGAGCCAATTTTGTGAGATTCCACGTTTATTTATTTATTTATTTTACTGGATTCCATTTTGTGTCAGTTTCGTGATTCAGTTTGTATTTTCTGCATTGTGGAAACCATAGAACCCTACATATCTCAGTCCTATTTTTTTTTTTTTTTACACACCTGGGAATTTTTTCCCCATAGCCCCTGTAATATGCTCGCGTACCCCAAGGGTTACACATACCCCTGGTTGGGAATCATTGCTTTATTAAAACAGCATTCGGTCTTCAATTCAAACTAGCCATTGGCTCGTCAGTCTGGTCTAAACTAACCTCTGAACTAAGCTATCTGATCTACCACAGCTATAATTGTTTGTAACCTGTCCACAGAAACTCTCCTCAAATATTCTGAACCATAACTTAACAGCTTTTGTCTGTTAGCAAAATATCTCAAGAACAACTGCATAGATTTTAATGAAACTCTCTAAAATTAATCACTAATTTAAGATGGTGGCCACAGACGACTGACCATTGTCCAGAATGATGCTAAATGTTGGTGTGGTGGTAGCTGAGAGTCATCCCTACCATGTGGTTCAAGTTCTAACAGACTGGGTCAGACTGGCAGAACTTTATGTTGATGAGTGATTTCAGTTATTTTGAGGAATGCTTGGAGTTTCAGTCTAAATGGATTTAATTTAATCTTTATTTTTCTAATGCAGCTCACATTCTGACTGCTGAAAACTACAGGAAAAAAACCTGAACTATCCCTTTCTGTATTCTCTCATTACAGCAGCACCGGTGAATATGTCCTGTTGTGGGCYGGTGGGTCCTATAGTGCTGACCCAGTAACCTCAATGCCTCAAACTCTGCTAATCCCAGAAATGTGACACTTTAGACAATTAGCGAGGTATGCTTTTGTGTCACAAGCACTCACATGTGTGTGTGTTTGACATGGTGAAGGAGGAGAGAGAAGAAGYGGGATTACAGCTCTGGTATGCGAAGCACATCGAGCCTTTTCATTAATCTCCAATCAGAACGTGGTTTCCCTGCTCCGCCTCAGACGGCACAGCGATGTCCGGCCCTGACAGCACACTATTGTATACTTTTAATGAGCAGACAGTCCTGCGAAGAAATACAGTAACCAAGGGTGCTGCCTATTGGCATATTGACTCAGGGTTTGTGCTAAAAGCCCACGTGAGGCTCACGGTGCAGACGTTTTATAAATGGACCTCTCACTATCTGCATGAGATGAGACAAGAAATCATTACGTGGCCAGGCAAGGCTTTGGAAGTGATGCTGAAGAGAGGAAAACTGATTAGTGGGTGGACAAGAGATGGAGGGGAGCTGAGTAGGGCTGTGTATTGGCAAGAATTTGGCGATACGATACATATCATGACAGAGGTCACGATACGATATATCCCGATATATTGGGATACTATAAGCAAGGCGATATATTGCGATTTTTTTTGTCCAAAAATTCTATTAAATAAAAACTTCTTACAGGGTAAAAAAAATGAAAAAACAAAATTCATTGTCTCAAAAAATTCTAATATTACATAGACATGATTTTGATACATTTAACCGTGATCTGCTTTGTAT